CCGATACACCATTTAAAAGAGTGATTCTTGTGCGATAAGAAATACCCATTGCTAAATTTTTAAATTGCGTTTCAACGTGTAACAATAATGCCAAACTTCAACTATTGTGCATTTGATCTTTACTGATTAAAGCATTTTTCTAAAACTAGGCATTTTTAAAGTCCGTGTTCACGATATCTTAAAATCTACACGGTAGTCTGGAAGGCGGAAAGTTCCGAGCAAAAATGACGATCAAATCGACACACGGGGATGTGTTAAAGAAGGTTTGGGCATTACAAATTCTGTTAATTTAAAATCCCAGCTGATCATTTAAGCTAAAAAAAGCGTTTTTTAGCAATTTTTTTGAAGGGGAAGGAAATGATTACGGTAAACGAAATTGTTAGATGATAGTGTATTATATTTAAGCTTAAAAAGACAATTTCCCCAAGCCATACAATAATCCTTCCTGGTCTTTAGAAAATTTGTTTTAAAATTGATTTTTTGAAGCCTGTAAAGCAGACTACTGCTTTAACAAGGGGAGGTAAGGTCTATTCGGTAAAAAAACGCATGTTTTTTAAATTTTTTTTGTCGATACGCAGAAAGTTAATTTATTTTATCGCTTTGCATATAATTATGTAACATTTGAACAATATTTCTCTAAATTTTAATTCAAAAATATTAAGATCTGAACGAAATAATAGGATTTTTTTAAGCGCCTCCAAAAAATCAAAGTGCATCTGTTAAAGGAGATGTTTTTTGAGGTAACGCTGGGAGGAATTTTTTTATAATTTTTCGATTTTTCGTAGCACTTGAAAGCCAAAAAGTCGATTTTCGCTATAAAAAATGATTTATTTGTTATTGTAAAATACGTAATTTTTTATTTTTTTAAAAAAAGGTCTAAGGGTTACCTGAGGAATTATGTGAAGAAGCTGTGTGCAAAATTGTAGAACGGTTGGTAAAGTAGACACGGTGGTCTGGAAGGCGGAAAGTTCCGAGCAAAAATGACGACAAAATCGACAAACAGGGATGTTTTAAGGAAGGTTTGGACATTACACATCCGTTTGATTTGAAATCCCAGCTGATCATTTAAGTGAGATATCGGGAAAATCAATTTGAAGTGTGTAAATTTACACATCAATTTTTAAAAAAATGCAATTTAACAGGAAGGATTGGTACGAATATTAACATATATCCACCTATATTACAAAAAGGTATCGCCGCAACAAACGTATCATTTTCAAAATTTGTTAACCTACAAGTACAGGTTAAGGCTTAAACCTTTCAGTCAGATTTGTCAATATATCGACCACCTTTTGAGATGGTTGAAAAAAAATAAAAACCCACCAGATTTGCTTGAAACTTGGTACTTAAGGGTTTTTGGGATTGGTGATTACGTATCCGTTATTACTTTTCAAAAATTAAAAATGGCGGATTTAATATGGCGGACGAATTTTTAAAAAATTTGAATTTTTGAAAAGTGACATCAGATTCTAAAAATCCCTGAGTAACAAGTTTTAAGTGAATCCGTTTAATATTTAAAAATTCGTCGCCTTATTTGTTATGTTTAAATTCGATTGTTTCTAATTTAATTATTATTTATTTAAAAGTTTTAATATTTTAATCGAATTCAGACTTAACTGTATTAAAAAGAATTTTTAATAGTCTTAAAATAATAAAACACTCAGTATTTTATTAGCAAGAAATGAATGTTAAGTTTATTTTGAAAAAAATATTGTTATAAAAATTTAGGATCCCCCCTTTAAGTATCAGTTCAACGCCTCCGGTTAGACGGTATTAAGCTTTATAAAGGAAAATAAAAAGATAGGTTGAAATAGGTTGTAAGACACAAATAATTACTCTATCATATTAATGACATAATCTAGTTTATTTTATTTGTTTCCATAAGAATAAAGTAGTAATAGCAAAAAGGGACAGTAATAGTTACAATAGAATTATCCTTCAAAAATATTGTATATATATAAAATTAGTATTAAGAATTATTAAAATTACCCCTTTTAAAAATACAATAAAGGATATAAATTCTTTAACTTTCGTAACATAAATACATTTATTATACTAAGAAAGTTACTCTATTAATAGTAATTTCACCTTGTGTGTGTATGTGTTATGAAAATTTATAAATGTGGAATTATTATATAGTTTACTCACCAATTGTAAATTGTAATTTTAATGGATTATTTTCTTTTTAGTACGAGAAAAATCTTTTTAATTTTTCGATTTATTTAAGGTAATATCGACACTTATGGATAATATCCTGTTTTTAATTTCAATTGTGCTCTTATCGATACTTTATACTTTTATTTTTATAAAAATGTAATTTTGTTTTCTTTGTTTTTCTTCTAATTAAGTTTGTACTCTCTGATTGATCTAAATCTGAGACAATATTCAAAAAATATTATTTGAATGCTGAAAATTCGGGATCACCGTATTTAAACATTTATCTCATTTTTTGAATAAATTCCAGAATTTAAAGAGACTGAGAGTAAAGGGTCTTAGATCTCAAATACAAGGCTTGAATTTCAATATCTTGTATTCGTCTTTCTTATATATTAAAACAGTAACTGAACTTCACTTTGAGATTTTAATTATAAATCACTCAGAAAAACACTATCATTTAGAACTAAATAAATTTTACTTTCTTTTTTTTATTTTAACTCACTCTTTTAAACATTCACTTTTTTATATTTTACTTCTTTACTTGTTTTTTGTATATTTTTATATATTCTTTTTATTTGATTCTTTTTTTTAAATATTCTTGTTAAGTAACAATATCAGATTTTTATAAATCTATCTTTTTTTAAGAAAACACTGACTTCAATATTTGAATTTCAACCCTTGTTTTTGGGGATAAGAAAAATAATCTACTTCCGCCTTTGGCGGGAAAAGAAAAAATAAAGATATAGTAAACGTCCGCTCTGCGGGAAATACTTAATAAAACTCGTTCATTAATTTAGGAAGGAAATCGTTCACACCCTGGAAATTGACTCAATTTTTTATAGGTGGGAAAACACGGCCCGCCAAACTTTATTGTTACCAAGGAAGCTTTTTGCAAGCTTGAAAATTCCTTGGTAAATGGCGTGATAGAGTTCGTTGTTCTCTATTGGATTTTGCTCGTGTGTATGTGTATTCTCCTTTATTAGTATTTTTTACAAATACTTTAAAGAGTCTTTTTGTAGGTGACTATTTTTTGTAAAATTGACAAATTCCCGAGACGGTCGCTACATTACTTTAAATGATTTCTATTCATATTCTTAATCAAAATAATAATTTAGTAATTTTTTAATACTGAAGAAGAATTTTTGAAATAACTATTTTGTTTTTATGGATTTAGTGATAATTTAGTATTAATAAATTTGATAAGTGGACTATATATAATTCCTAAACGTTATTAGTGTAAGGTGTGCTTAAAATTAAATACATATTTCCCAAAATTCTTTTAGACTCTATATAATCTTAATAAATTAAAATATTTAAAAAAATAAAAATAGTTACGCCTTTGAACGTAACATTATTAAATCTACTATTATGAATTTCAACAATTTTGCAAATTTGACCCTGGATTCGAATTTAGCGACCCAAGAAACCCTATCTACAATAGAGTTTGCAATGTTTTGTCGATTATTCTAATTGCGTGACTGCAAGGGATAACCTGTATGTATAGGTTTCTCTGCTCTCAAAATTTAGGTCAATTTTAAGGGCAGTTTTGACCTGCTCTGTCGTAACGGTAAATAGACATTTATACTAATTTTACCTATTTTTACCTATAGGTCAAAAGTAGCATCATGGCCTAATAAATTTCTCATTAAATTCCTCCATTGGGGACGTCATATTTTTATGACGTCATATTTTTATGATAAAATCTGTTACATTAAGAACATATCCTCTCTGTTAAGGAAGGGGTAAGGTCTTAAAAATTTTTTATTGCATTTTTTTAGAAATTTTTTTAATGATTACATAATATCTCCAGAATGTCGTGTTAAAATCTCAAGTCAATCGAAGCAAAATTGACGAAGTTATGAGTACTTTAGTTCTGTAGGTCCAGGCTTCAAGTTTCATGTTCTTCATTAAAAAATCATTTGTAATTTGTTTGTTTTTAAATGTGCAATATTTTTCGATACACCATTTCAAAGAGTGATTCTTGTGCGATAAGAAATACACATTGCTAAATTTTTAAATTGCGTTTCAACGTGTAAAAATAATGCCAAACTTCAAGTATTGTGCATTTGATCCTTACTGATTGAAGCATTTTTCTGAAACTAGTCATTTTTAAAGTCCGTGTTCACGATATCTCAAAATCTACTTGACCAATCGTTCTGCAATTTTGCACACAGCTTCTTCACATAATTCTTCAGGTAACCCTTAGAATTTTAAAAAAAAATAAAAAATTACTTATTTTACAATAACAATTAAATCATTTTTTTATAGCGAAAATCGACTTTTTGGCTTTTAAGTGCTACGAAAAATCGAAAAATTATAAAAAAATTCTTTCCAGCGTTACCTAAAAAAACATCTCCTTTAACAGATGCACTTTTATTTTTTTGAGGCGCTTAAAAAAATCCTATTATTTCGGTCAAATCTTAATATTTTTGAATTAAAATTTAGAGAAATATTGTTCAAATGTTGCATATTTATATGCAAAGCGATAAAATAAATTAACTTTCTGCGTATCACCAAAAAAAATTATAAAAACATGCGTTTTTTTACCAAATAGACTTTACCCCCCTTAAAGCAGTAGTCTGCTTTACAGGCTTTAAAAATCAATTTTGAAACAAGTTTTCTGAAGAAGAGGAAGGATTTATCGTCATTTTTGCTCCGAGATTTCCGCCTTCCAGACCACTGTGAAATGTTGTATGAAAGAAAAAATTAATGAAAATGTTTATATAAAGAACAAAATTTATGTAAAATATTTTCATTTACATTTATTTTTACTCATTCTCAAGTTCATCCCCTATCTCTACTTCTCTCTCACTCTCATAACCCATATCTCGCTCTCCATCACTCTAATGTACATCTTGCATTTCGCGCTCTCCCTCGCTCTCATGTACATCTTGCATATCACGCTCTCCCTTGCTTTCATGAACATCTTGCATATCACGTTCTCCCTCACTCTCACGTACATCTTCCATACCTCTTTCTTCCTCACTCTTACGTTCATCATTCGTATCTTGCTCTCCCTCACTCTTCCCCTACTTGCAGCTTACCTTCATACACCATCTCTCCCTCACTCTCATTTATAATCTCCTCTCTCTCACTCACATGCACATTCTCTCCTTCATGTTCCTCCTTTTCCACTTGCTTACCCCCTTTCACTTGTTCTTTCTTACTGTCCACCACCATAAGATCTTGTTCTTCCTCACTCTTATCGTCAACCACTATATCTTGTTCTCTTTTACTCTCATGCACAGTCTCCCCCTCACGCTCCTCTTCTTTCACTTGCTGACCCCTTTTCACTTGTTCTTCCTCACTGTCTACCACCACAAGATCTTTTTCTTCCTCACTCTCATCGTCAACAACTATAACTTGTTCTCCCTCACTCTCATGATCACCCTGCACTATCTCACACTCTTCTTCACTCAGGTGGTCCACTATATCCAACACCATCTCTTCCTCTCTCTCACTCCAATAGGTAAAATCTCTATCCATTTGATCACATGCTCCTCGAATAGTGAGATTTAAATATCTTCTAATTACTTAGTCGAAATACTTGCATCCTAAGTAGATAACTTGCACATAAATATTTCGATGTTGTAAAACAACTAATTCAAATTGTTCTGTGAAAAAGTTGTACATTTTGCAAGTTGCAGCAAATATCAAAACTCTTGTTAATTTTTGGTAGTCGGTCCGATTATCCAGCTAAAGAGAAGGAACATAAAAAGTTAATCGAATTCCATAATAGCTGCCAACTCTCCGAATCCAAATTCCGTTGTCAATAAAACAATTTTTCCTCTGACACTGTTATAATCAATAGAAACATTTAGGATGTCATGCTTGCTTTGATTTCTAATTTCCGGAAATGAGATAGCAGTTAAGCACTATAACGGGTGTCTTATTTATCTTTGTTAATTTTTTAAAATTTATTATAATTTACTAACCAACATGAGATTATTTAATTCAAGAATTTAATTTTATTTAATTTATAATCAACAAATTACACAAAACACACGTTACTTTTGTTGTTTTTATTTATTGCCCGACGCCAGAGATATTTTGTGGAAAAATATTCAAACCGATTAATTATTTAAATTTACGCTAGCTCAATCTTTTCAAGGAGAGCGCGGGGTAAGAGAAATGACCAGTTAGTTTTAATTTTGTTTTAATAATCAAGAAGATTACAGGTCCAGACGGGACCTGTTCAAAAGGTACAGAAATGTCATGTCGTGAAACAAAGCAAAATGAAACAATTCTTATTTTGATCGATAATTGTCAGTAGACAACACATTCAATTGTTATGAGACTCACCGGAGATACGTCGACGTCCCTTCATGGTTCCTTAGCTCATCTTGACAAAAAAAGGCACAATTAATGTTAATTTTATGGATTAAACTTATTAAGGACCAGACGGACGAAAAATTTTAATTGAATTTGAGGACCTCGTTTTTTATTAAAATGCCTTTTAAAAAGTGGCACATACTATTTTTAATGTAAAATTTACTCATATTTTAGATTCTGCTGTTAAAATTTGTTTTTACCAAATTGTTAAAAAGTTATAAACAATTTTTAACAACAAAACACGATTTTTCGAGAGAAAAATTTCATTTCAGACGTATTTTCACCAGAAAAAAGTAGGTAGATACTCTTAAAAACTCAAAATATCGCGTCCATGGACCCTTAGCTACAAAACCCTGAAGCGATCAGTTTTTTTCAAAATGGCAGACGCTAATATGGTGGCTAAAACTAAAAAAATGGCTCACATATGAAACATAGTGCTCCAACTTTTTCAAGTTACTGCAATCGCCTGAAATTCGTTACTCGGGGGTTCTTGGGGTAGCTGATTACAAAAATGATGTCAGTTTTCAAAAATTCAAAATGGCGGATCCAATATGACGGACGAGTTTTGTAAAAATTAATTGGATTCACCTGAAACTCTCTACTCGAGAATTATTTGGGGGCACTGATTACGAATATGATTCAATATGTTTCATAATAATTTATTTAATATTAATTTCTACAACAAATTTCTTTAACTACTGAAATTACCTTAAACCGATAACTGGGTGTCAGCCACATAGAAATTTTTCGCTGTCAACTTCATAAAGTTGTCAAATACACAAAGACACTTGAAAGAATAACACAGGCATACAAAATTTAAAATTTTGTCAGACCTAGAAACGGGATAACTCATTTCCGATGTAATTTGTCACCCTGAATCCAAAACTGGCAGCGAAATTGCTCTATCACGTCAAGATTCTGAGATATTCTAACCTAAAAGAGTAAAAAAGGCCATTTTTGGCAACATTCGACTCTCAATAAAATCTACAAAAAATTTTTTTTATTATTGGAACAAATTTTAAAAGAAAGTACAATTATTAACCTTTCAAAATATTCTACACCCGATCCGATCCGACTTTTTTCCCTAAGATACAACAATTTAAAGTTTAGGTTACACGACCTAAAAACTGAAAAAAGGAAGAAAAGAATAATTGGAAAGTACTTTAACTTAAGCATCTGATTAATAATATTTTGGGATCGTTGATTAGAAAACCGATGTCTGATTTTCAAAATTCAAAATGGCGGATCCAATATGGCGCCTGTCAAAATAAAAAATTGATCAGATTCGCTTAAAACTTTTTACTCGAGGGTTTTTGAGGTCGCTAATTACGAATCCGATGTCAGATTTTTGAAATTCAAAATGGTGGATGTAATATGGCGCCTGTCAAAATAAAAAATTGATCGGATTCGCTTGAAACTTTTTACTCGGGTGTTTTTGAGGTCGCTTATTAAGAATTTGGTGTCACATTTTCGAAATTTAAAATTATTGTGGATCTAATATGGTACTATATGTTAGTAAAATCGAAAAACGTTAAATTCGAATATTTAGGGCATAATTTATACACTCTTTTAGTAAAAAAAATTAAAAGTTTTATTTTTCTTTATGAACCTTTACACATTTTTCTTCAAAGGTTTTTCGTATAGTTGGTTTCGTTTTTAGAATATAATACAGAATCACTTCTTTGCTTATATCTAGACCTGTAAATTCATCTTTTCTCAATTTAGATATCTATAGGTGTGAAAAACTTTTTTTCAAGTACTCAAAAGACTTCGAATTTCACGTTTTTCGATTTAACTAACATATAATACCATATTAGATCTACAATAATTTTAAATTTCGAAAATTTGACATTAGATTCTTAATAAGCGACCTCAAAAACACCCAAGTAAAGAGTTTCAAGTGAATCCGTTAAATTTTTTGAAAATATGTCGCCATATTACGTCCGCCATTTTGAATTTCGAAAATCTGACATCGGATTCGTAATTAGCGACCTCAAAAACCCCCGAGTAAAAAGTTTGAAGCGAATCCGATCAATTTTTTATTTAAACAGTCGCCATATTGGATCCGCCATTTTGAATTTTAAAAATCTGACATTGGTTTTCTAATCAACGATCCCAAAATATTAAGAATCAGATGCTTAAGCTAAAGTACTTTCCAATTATTCTTTTCTTCCTTTTTTCAAATTTTAGGTCGTGTAACCTAAACTTTAAATTGTTGTATCTTAGGGAAAAAAGTCGGATCGGATCGGGTGTAGAATATTTTGAAAGGTTAATAATTGTACTTTCTTTTAAAATTTGTTCCAATAATAAAAAAATTTTTTTGTAGATTTTATTGAGAGTTGAATGTTGCCAAAAATGGCCTTTTGTACTCTTTTAGGTTAGAATATCTCAGAATCCTGATGTGATAGAGCAATTTCGCTGCCAGTTTTAGATTCAGGGTGACAAATTACATCGGAAATGACTTATCCCGTTTCTAGGTCTGAAATTAGTAGACCTGTGTAATGTAACTCACGGAACATAAAGATATGTACAAAATGTACCGTCCAATAGCCATACATTTTCAATTTTTACGAATTTAAACGAAATATTAGAGTAAAAAGCTAAAATATGGGTGTCGCACACCCAGGGTGCGCTTTATATGTTAAATTTTTAAAAACCGACATCACATTCGTAATTAGTGCCTCCAAAAAACCCCCGAGTAGAGAGTTTCAGGTGAATACAAATTTTTTTTACAAAACTGATCCGCCATTTTGAATTTTTGAAAACTGACATCATATTCGTAATCAGCGACCCCAAGAACCCCATAGTAACAAGTTTCGGGTGAATTCAATTAATTTTTACAAAACTCGTCCGTCATATTGGATTCGCCATTTTGAATTTTTGAAAACTGGCATCATATTCGTAATCAGTGACCCCAGTTCCCCCCGAGTAGAGAGTTTAAGATGAATCTAATTAATTTTTACAAAACTCGTCCGCCATATTGGATCCGCTATTTTAAATTTTTGAAAACTGACATCATATTTGTAATCAGCGACCCCAAGAATCCCCGAGTAATGAGTTTTAGGCGATTTCAGTGACTTGAAAAAGTTGGAGGTTTCATATGTGAACCATTTTTTTAGTTTTAGCCGCCATATTAGCGTCCAACATTTGAAAAAAATTGATCGCTTCAGGGTTTTGTAGCTGAGGGTCCATGGACGCTATATTTGGAGCTTTTGTGAGTATCTATTTACTTTTTTCTGGTGAAAATAGTCTGAAATGAAATTTTTTTCTCTAAAAATCGTGTTTCTTTTGAAAAAATTGTTTATAACTTTTTAACAATTTGGTATAAACAAATTTTAACAGTATAATCTGAAAGAGGAGTAAATTTTACATTAAAAATTGTATGTGCCAATTTTTTTATATGCATTTTAATAAAAAACGAAGTCCTCAAAGTAAATTGGAATTTTTCGTCCGTCTGGTCCTTAATGGGTTAATACAATATGGTCTTTTGTGACCTGTCACTTATTTTTACGCCAAACTGAGAATGAAGTAAATAGCCGACGGGGACGCCAAAGCAGACGCGCATCTCGGCTTCGTGGTGAGTCTCACGCGTACTCGTTACAAGGATTTTCCGATGGTAATCGATGCGCGACAGTCAGTAATTAGGTAATTTATCGACTGTCGGAAAGAGTTCACAAAGAGTTCGTTTAGTCTTCGCGCCCTAAGCTTTGATATTTAAGAAGATATACATAAAGATAGCATCTAAAAAATAATTATTATCATTCTTTAAAACAAAAGTAGTGTTATAATAGTTTTAAATTTCATTTCCTGTTTTTAAATTTTACAATTATCTCTTTTCAAAAGCAAAGCATTCTTTTTCAAGAAATTATTATCATTAACAATCTTCAAACAATTGTCATAATTACATATAATAATCTTCTTATTATATTATAGATTTATTTAAAAAAAATTTAAATTCAAGATTCTATTGTAAAAATATTATCTATTTATATCTTACTGTAAAATGGGTTAGTAAATCATAGAAAACAGTTTCTCATTAAATAATAATAAAATGAAATAGGTATGGAATAGTATATTAAGCAACAAGAGGATAACACTATACAAAATCATCGTATAGAAATTGGCTGCCTTTATTCTCGTGTTACTTACGAAATTTTTTTTCCTAATGCACAAAAGTGGCGATTTCAGATAGCAGACGACAGGGAGTAAAAGTCATTCACTTGTTCAACTTGTATGAAAATGGCGGCCGTTTTCTCCCATGGGCAAGAAAAATGCACGTGAACAGCTAATTTTCTTGCCTTTGGGAGAACACGGACGCCATTTTCATACGGTCGAAGAAAAAAATGACTTTCCTCCCTGTCATCTGCTATCAGAAAGCGCCATTTTTGTGTATGTGGGATAAAAAAAAAGTTTAGAAATAAAAATACACGTAAAATTTGTTAGTGTTTACACATCTTGTATATATTTTTGAAAACACTCCAATTACATATTGGCAATTTTTTTTAAAATGTGCCCATCTTTAAATTCTTTGATTTCTAGTAAGAAATCTCCGATCTTTGCATATGATTTGATCATGTGATTCTGGAAGTCTGGATTGTTAGCCATCTCAGTCTTCGCTAACTCGAAAAGCTTAACTAAATTTTCCAAGTACTCCCTCAGCTGTTCATAATTCGATGAGGAGCAAATCAAAATTTCCAACGGAGCATATATAGTTGCATTAGTTTTTGCATAAAATTCCGCTTCTACACATTCAATTCTGTAAATAGAAGCAGAAAAAATCTATTATTATTACTGATATACTTAAATATTTATTGTTATTATTGTTTATTTACAAGTATTTATTATTATTATTTATTTAATACTTATAATGATCTATTATAATTGTTAATTGTTATTCTTGATTGTTATTATTTCTTATTGTTAATTAGTGTTTTATGTTTTATTATTATTTATTTAACAAAAAATTTTATTATTTATTATTACAATTCTTAAATT